ATTACGAAAAGCTTAGTGCATTTTTCGTGAATAGCAAAATTTTCATCGTCTCACCGAAAAACTCATCTAAATTCTGATGACTGCTTCACGAAAGCTGCACAAGAACCAGAACTTCAGTTAGGTAGTGCATATCCTTGGCGTGAATGAAGAAAGGTGGATTACATTTTGAAAACGCTGAATAAAGAGTCACAATTGGAAGATTTCAGTTCAATGGGCAAATGTGTCAAGCGTTTTTGGATTTATTTCGTTTTAGCTGTTACCGCCACTTCCTTATTGGGATCGTTAACACTTCCTTATTGGGATCAATCATCGAAACAACTTCAGCGAGCACATCGTATAAGATAGATGGAAAAGTGGAAAGAGATTCATGAGAAAAGCCATCGGCGATGACAAAAGGAATACAAACTCAAACGAGCACCACCGGTAGCAGACAGACGGAAATTTTGCCGGTGCACCGGAACAGCAATTGTGCGATATTATAATGTGACATGAACAGCGAAAAAAAAAGAGAACAAAAACGATGGCAAGAAAATGGAAATTAACGTTAGGAATCAATGAGCATATGAGATTTGTGCTCACATGAGAACACGGAATTTCCTACTTTCAAATATATGCGAACGACTGTCAGACGACTATCTTGACCAAACCGAGAAACTTTCTCCCATCATGTCATCATAATTCTTATTGAACGAACGAATAGTTTGAAGAGAGATCATCATTTAGATTCAAAATATGCGTGAAGTATAATAATAGTGCGTGCTTCGATAAGAATTTTAAACGTTCAGAATGAACAATAACAACATTGCGAATATAAATCCAGAAATTGAGACATTCATGCAATTTGGACTGCCTTTTGTTCGTACTCCGAACGGCTGACCAAAAACATTTTTCAAGCATAAAATTATATGTGGATGATAGATGTTCATCAATATGTGAAAATTTCAGAGGAGTGGATGAAAGAAATTAGTGATATCTGAATAGACAGAGCGACTCTGACAAATGCTATGGAGACGGATATAATGAAGAGTGGACACAACAACGATATCAGCAGAACAAAAGATATTTAAGTATTTTGTACATAATTATGATTATCATTTACATTTCATGTTTGAAGCTCACCAATGACCATTAAAAAATGTGATTCCAGCCAACGACGAGAACAAGCGAAGCATTGCGAGGATCGTTCGAGATATCCAAAATGACTGGAAAGTTGCTCTTGCATATTCAAAAACATTTACGGCTTTGTCTCGATACGACCACATAAACGATACGAACACTGAGCAACATTTACTAACTGATTAACAGATTCACTGAAACTTTGTTCATCTCTCNACTCATTTCCAGCAGATTAAACATTTCAACTAGAGTCAAAATGCAACGGACCAATACTTCCATCAGAGTGCATAAATAGAACTTTGAATGCGAATAAGACGCTTTATCTTATTAAGTGATGAGGCTGACGAGATATATATTCATTTAAAATGCCCCAATTGTAAGCATAAACGAGAGGTGTAATATGACTGAAATGACTGAAACGCAGAAATAAACAACGTACTGTCAGCAAAGCGTAAAATCCGGATTAACGAATGAGAAGCCACGAAATTCGTCTTGATTTATTGACCTCACGACGACATTATCGGTTGGCGTAAGGACTGGCTCTTCCTTCGTGAAATCAGCATCGAAATTGTTAACATCTCGCTTTGACTTCTGCAAGAAGAAAATGAACGAACTGACTGAACGCATCCATCCATGACTATGAACTGAAAAAACCATCAATGAATGCATTCCACTAACAATTTTCGGCTTAAACGGTGGTTTCACTCGTCTCGCCTCGAGCGCTTCCCAGTCCATATCTCTGAAGAACGGATGCGCTCGGATCGCGTCCTCACCTCCTTGAGATTGCACACAACCCAATCGCTTCAACGCGTTCTTTGTCATGAACTGAAATTTTGAAATGTTGATACTCATTAGTGCACTCTCTCAACATTAAAAATGATCAATTGATTGATGTTTTTACCGCTTTTAGAATATTGACAGCCTCCTTGGATAGCCACACGGGATAGAGGACGTCATCATGGAGAATCGCCTCGAATAGATCATCTTCATTGTCGGCCTCGAACGGTGGTTGACCAGCCATCATTTCGTACATCAACACACCTAGTGCCCACCAATCCACTGACACTCCGTATTCCATCTCTTGTAGAATCTGAACGCAGTGCATTTTTACATTGCTATAAACATTTGATGGAACCTCAAACTTTATCAGATTCATTCCAGAAATTCTATCACTTCGAAAACACGACATTTATCATTATTTGATACGAATAGTGTGATGTGACGAACCTCAGGAGCAATATAATCTGGTGTACCGCAGAAAGTGGATGTGAGCTTATCCTTTGAAATACCCTCTTTGCACATTCCAAAGTCAGCCAATCGACAGTGACCTTCCGCATCCAGAAGTATATTGTCCAGCTTCAAATCACTAAAAACAAAACGATGACCACAACAGTTGTGTTGACCAACTCATACAGTTGAAATGTTGTCAAAATGAACATACTCTCGTTTTGTTAAAAACACTAGTTTAAAAACTCATTATAAGAATGAATAGCATGAAAAAGTTTGATTTGAAAGCTCGGAATGCTTTATAAGAGAATGTGAATGCGATAGGTAATGAGCTGAAATGCCGAAATTAGGTGGAAGAAATGCGAATG